AACATCATTAGAATCTAATATAGATTAAGGGGGTCGACTGGATGGGTTAACCATCAGATTTTCGACTGACCCTTCTTCTCTTCTTTTTCTTCTTCTTCTTCTTCTTCCTGTTCGGACTACTGTAGCAGCAGTCGAAACAGTATGAATATGAAAGCTTTTTTTCTAGTAAAATGTAAACAACAAGGAAAAATTTATTTTGGTCTGCAAAAAACAAGTGAAGTTTTCATTTACATATGGATAGGGCAACACATATTTCTCTTTTGCTAAGTCTTGAGGAAAATCTGAATGCAATATTCTTCTGTTTTAAACTTCTCTTTTTTTCTTTGATTTCCCCCCAAAAAGACATGATAAAATCATTTCTTTGGGAAGTGACATTAAACTTCACGTTCTATCTGCACGGTGTTCATAATAACAACTAAGGTACCTGCTTCCCTATAAATGCTTTCTGGTACTGTGAGGAAAATTTATTTTGTCTTTTCCTTTTATGTTTATTTTATGTAGTGATTTTTTATTTTTTGCTAATTCAGCTTCTTGTTCTTCAATTTGAGTTTATAATCTCACGACATATTTTGATATTTTCCATTAGATGACTGACTACATGAACTTATCTCCTAGATATGGACAGATGGAACGTGCTATCCTCTCTGCTGCAGTAATAGGTATAGATCTTAGAGGAGCAGTTGCTCGTGGTGTGGGTGCCCAGGGTATTGAGCTCAGTGAAACAGTTCGGAGAATGGAGGAATCCATTCCGGTTGCCATTGTATTTCTTGAAGCAGCAGTAGAGAGATGCATCAACTTTACTGGAGGTTCTGAAGTGGATGAGCTTATTCTTGCACTTGATGATATTATTTTGCAGTATATTTCTACTCTGCAAGATACACTAAAATCCTTAAGAGCTGTGTGCGGAGTGGATATCCTTGGTGAAGGTGCTGGTGCAAAGAAGGATAGCTTGGATAAAAAAGAATCAATTCACAATGCACGCAAAATTGATACAGTCTCAGATGAGGAAGAGTGGGCTATTGTCCAAGGGGCATTACAAATACTTACAGTTGCAGATTGCCTAACTAGCAGATCCTCAGTTTTTGAAGCTTCGCTGAGAGCTACTCTTGCCAGGATCAGCACAAGTTTGTCACGTTCTAGATTTGGTTCAATAGTAGACCAAAACCAATCTTCTGCAAATAATGATGGTCCAAATGGGGAATTATCCTTGGCTGGAAGGGCTGTTTTGGATGTAGCAGCTGTGCGCCTCATTGAAGCTCCTGAAAAATCTAGGAAACTCTTTAACCTTTTAGATCAGGTATGCTGGACCCTTTTATTGGATTTCTTGTGCTATGAGCAATGTTTTGAAAGGGATGTGAGACTTGGGCCTTGAGCCTCACCTGAAAATGAGGCTCACCTGAAAATGTCTCGAGGCTTATGCCTAAAATATAAGGAACATATCCACACATTCAGATGCCTCATGTGGAGAGCATGTGCTTCAAAAAATTAAATCATCAGAAGACTCGTTCAAAGACCAATACTATGCTTTCTGAATTTTAAGTGTGTGATTTATTTAAACATTTAGGAAAATTTGACATCCATTTGAAGTTTTTATTATGTAAAGGTATAATCCTTTTTAGCATTGTTCCATGCCTTCTTTTGTTTTACTTCATGCTTTTTGTTGAGGATTAAGATCCTAACAGCTCACCTCATTCCTCCACCTTTTAAAACATTGGTTTTGATTATAAGTCCTTTCTCACTTATGCCATTATGGTGATTATAACTTTCTGCAATGTTCTTTGAGTTCTGTAGTTAAAGGTCCCACAAGCATGCGTGTGTGGACTGGATGATGTGTCTTCACATGGGACAGACAATATGTAATGGCTTTTCTATTTTAAGTATTCAGGGGTTCCTCTGTTTTCTTGGTAATTTGCATATAGCATTTTCTGTTTTGATTTGAATATTACATGCTCATTCAGTTATATAGATTATTATAATTTGTGTCAGGTTAAGCAGATTTTTTCAACAGAAAGGTCAAAGGGTCATGGTTTAACGAACTTATATAGGATTCTGAACTTAGGATTGCGAAAAGCCAACTATTCAGCTTAATCTAACTGAAGCATATATAAAACAGAAATATGATGATCTAATTTTACCTTCTACTTCTTAATTTTATGTCTCTCTACTTGTGCCAGTGAGGCATCTTTCTTATTTTCCTGTACAATTATTATCCAAGTCCTATTTTTCTGTCATGATAACCTTTTTTTGACATTCTGTTTTTACCTTTTCCTCCATTTATTTTCATTACTTGAACACTATTTTTATGCCATCATGCAGTCAAAGGATCCTCGGTTTCATGCACTTCCACTTGCATCTCAGAGAGTAGCAGCCTTTGCAGAGATTGTTAATGAACTTGTCTATGATGTCCTCATATCCAAGGTACGGCAACGTTTGAGTGATGTGTCTCGGTTGCCAATCTGGTCTTCAGTGGAGGAGCCTAGTGCTTTCCCTCTCCCCAGCTTCAGTGCCTATCCTCAGACCTATGTGACTAGCGTTGGTGAATATCTTCTTACCCTACCTCAACAACTAGAGCCACTTGCAGAGGGCATCTCTAGCAGTGATGCAAATGCTGATGAAGCACAGTTCTTTGCAACTGAATGGATGTTCAAGGTACTTGACCTTCAATACCATTTTAACTTATGAAGAAGACCTTCATAAGAATTTCAATGCTTGTTTTTTTGTTAAAGGTTACTACCACTCACCAATTTATGATTGATATTGTTTAAAAGGTTGCCGAAGGTGCTGTAGCAATTTACACAGAACAGTTGCGAGGAATTCAGTATATAACTGATCGAGGAGCACAGCAGCTTTCTGCTGATATCGAGTATTTGAGTAATGTGCTGTCAGCTTTGTCCATGCCAGTTCCTCAAGTCCTGTCTACGTTCCACACCTTCCTCTCAACTTCAAGAGACAAGATCCAGGATCTCCTGAAATCAGATGCTGTTAGTCAGCTTGATCTTCCAACTGCCCACCTTGTGTGTAAGATGCGGCGTGTGACCCTAGACCAATGATTCTTTTCTTCTCTTTAACAGTAAAACAAAGTTTTGCCCAAGGCCACTTGGATATGATTAATTTTCTTCTTTTGCTGAACATAGGACAGTTCATGATATTCTCATCTAGTATCTGCTGTCAGTTTGTGTAATGTATTCTTGCTTTACTTGTAGAATCAATGTTGTGAAGTGCTCAACACCCCTTCACTTTGAAGTAAATAGTAAAAATACAACTTTAATGCCGCTTTTCACCAACAGAATACAGTCGCCATCACTCCAGTGACGCCAGTGTCAAATTTTCAGTGAAGATCAAATCCAATAGTATGCCATCATTATATAGGCCAACAAAAACTGGCTAAAATCTAGCTTGATGACAAATTATTTTGTGACAAGAATATATTTTTCTATTCTGTGCATAGTTTTAGGTATATATGGTTAGATACTTAGATACACATTGGTTTCCACCCGAATCCGGTTGTATCAACACTATTAGTTAATGCTCGTCGATGTTCATCATATATCAACTAGAAATTTGAAAAAAAGAAAACAATGAAACAAATTAATTGATAAAATAAAAGCCGATTTTAAATGATGATTTGAGTGTGAATTCTGATTTATTCCAGTGTCAATTTTCATCCTATTTTATCATAGATGAGGTAACGTAAGAACTGAAACAAAATAAGATAAAATCAAGTTTTAACTTTATGACCTACACCAAAGCCAAAGCAAGTATCTATAGAATAGTATAGAAGGTTCAGTTGCACTATACCTCAACCATACCTGGTCGGCCGACCCAACTCTCTAGTCAATACGTGACCTTAGTAATCGTAAAAACTCAAGGAACCTGATTTTCAAAATCGGGTGGAGGTAGTCCACTAAATACATGATGAACATTTCAATTTAAATGATTTTATGGTCACGTTAAAAACTCATGGTTTTTAAAATCGACCCGGTGACTAAACCGGTCAGGAGTCCGGTTACTGGGTCGAACGGTCTGACCATTCAAATCAAATGCTTGGCCCATTCTGACAAAAATAAAAATAAAAAATAAAAAATTTTCAAAAAATAAAAACGGCCAAAACCGTTTAAACGATTAACCGCCTGGTTTTTATTGTTCAGTCCCCCTCAGAAATCTTTATACGTTCATACAAAATTACATAAACATTCAATAATATTTAAAGATATCAATAAAGTTAGGTATGCAACTTGGGTCGGCTCTTGTTGGGAATTTATTAACTTTTCAATGAACCTTAAACCTAATCCGAGCCTGATAGATTGGGTTGCCTAAGGCCTCTACCCTAACCCAACACAAAATTGGGTTAGTTCATATGAATTTGGTCCACACCAAGATGTACGGTTGGTATGTATTAGGATTATTGATACGTATGATGATGCAAGGCAGATTGAGAGGACTTTTGGGCTAAATTCTCTATTGATTTCAAGAGAATGAAAACAAGAAGCTTTATGTAGCTCAGATGATAGAGCGCTCTCTTAGCATGCGAGAGGTACAGGATTGATTCTCCGCATCTCCATTTACTACAATTTTCTTTTTTCGTAAATTATCCCCACATCATATAGGGAAAATTTATGATGCGAAAAAGATATGGTATGGGCCAGCGTTATTAGGAATGGTTAAGAAACATTTAGCCAAGCCCCTTTGAAGCAACAGCCTCAATAGTTGACATAGTCTAAAGCATAGTAAGAAGAGGAATAAAATAAACGAAGGATTTTATTTCAAAAAAAATAAAAAAATAAAAAAGGTTAGCCATCCGTAGGTTTTGGTAGTGGCTTCTCCATCTTCATGGCATGTGTCTGTTGGCTAGATATGGAGCTATGCAGGCACCATAAATAAAATACATGGCGCCTTCCGAGTAGTTATTGTATCATGTATCGTGGTGAAGTCGGAAAAGGACTTCATCTGAGCAAGGCGATGACATCCTAATGCCATAGATTTAGTTCAAACTTCAGAGCTCCCAGAAAAGATTTATGGATGAAAATCATAACCCATGCAGTAACTGTGAGCACTTTCTCAAGTTAGATAGCCACCTGCTCTGGCTCTGTTGCTCATGGTAGTCCCAAATTGAGATATGAGGATCGTTGCGACATGACTCGTACTCTCAAGTCCAGACGTTCTCGGGTCGCAAGTCGCAACGCAAAACCTCTAATGCATCTAGGAAATTAGTTGGAATGTGAGAATGCTAACCAATAACTATAGTGCCATGTGGCTACGGGTGGGTAAGCTTGCTTTTCTTCATTGTCCAGCAGCATTTTATGGGTTATTTGATTTTTGGGGTTCCGCATTTGTCCAAGGAGACTGATGGTGATGGCCTAATCGCAGCCTTAATAACAGGAACTCTTATCATGAGACATATGGCGCAGATTCAGGGAACCATTTGGCTTCAACAAACTAGTAGCTTTAACATCACATATTCACATTCCAGGATCGTTCATTCACCAAGTGTGTTTCCTTCTGGGTATTTGACGTGTAGGACCATGGGATCAACATGATATTTGAGGCCAATGGTATGTCATCTGAATGAGTACTAGTGGTCTATCAACTGTATGGTCCAGATTTGATGTCACTGTTTTAAGAACATTGTAGACTAACGCCACCTATTTGTTTGATGCAATGCCACCATATATTTTTCTTCCATCCAAGAGTAAAGACAAAAAAACAGGATTATTGGATGATTTGAATTGCATGGTGGTCATTTATCCAGAAGAATTCTGTACAAACATTAGTTGCAAACAACGTTTATCTTTCTATTACAGAAAAACAAAACCCATTTGCAGCAAACCGAGCAAAGAAAATCCAACCAAAAGTTTTATAGCTTGGCGTGTTATCCAAAACCAGTTTTTGTGGTACTCCTTAGATTTAATGGACAACCCTTCTCCCTTCATATCAAAATCAATAAGCTCTCCACCGTCACCAGCATCAACTACCAAGCTTTGCTTTGCTTGAACCATGAATGACACAGTGGACAAGCTGGTTATCTTCCTAGCCAAAAGGGATGGCATAGACAAACTGGTCAAGACCTTCCAGTATGTCTCCAAGCTTGTTCATTGGCACGTCGAAACCACCCATCCTGATATTGCTCAAAGAGCCAAGCAATGGGAGGTGGCTTCTGGTCTCAGTCGTAAAGCTTTTCGATCAGGTAGGTTCCTCACTGGTTTCAATGCCCTCCGCCGAAACCCAGGCTCAACTTTGACTTTCCGCTTCCTTGCTGTTCTTGCTAATGCTGGAGAAATGGTCTATTTCTTCTTTGACCATTTTCTGTGGTTGTCAAGGATTGGAGTAATAGATGCTGGGCTAGCTAGAAGGATGAGCTTCATCTCTGCCTTTGGTGAAGCCTTCGGCTACGTTTTCTTTATCATATCAGACTTCATTATCATGAAAGAGGGACTAGAAGCACAGAGAAGGATCTCTCTGCAACTTAAAGCGGGCGACACTTCGAAAGAAAAATCCATGGAGATGGAGCAAAAAGTGAGGCAAATCAGAGCTGATAGGGTGATGAGATTGATGGCGGTGGCTGCCAATGTTGCCGACCTAATTATAGCGTTGGCTGACATCGAGCCCAACCCTTTCTGCAACCATGCAGTCATACTCGGAATTAGTGGATTGGTCTCTGCATGGGCTGGTTGGTATAGAAATTGGCCCTCATAAGCATTAGGTTTATAGAAAGTGGGTAGAGGTTGATGAAGTGAATATAGTAATATCATCTCTTGGATGTCATTGTGAAAAACAGTATCCTAGTGATGCCATGATTGTTCGTGGCTGCAAGCCTGCAACTTGTAAGCAACTATCTGTAATCGGAAAACTCGCGAGTGTTGATAGGAAAATTGATGGGTATTACATACTCCTTTTAGTTCAATTTATTTTACATAATTGCATTATGGTTCTAATTGGATTCCATAATAGGCAGATTTAATTATATTAATGCACATTTTCAGACATCTTTGTTCCATTTTCTCCTCCCCAAGAGAAAGCACAAAAAGCCAGTAATAGCAACCACTCTCCCTTTTATTTTAAGGACTGCATCATCAAAAGCGCATATGTAAGGTACTGTTCATATCATAGAAGAAGAAAAGCTTGAACAGAAGGGTAAGCATTAGTAGAACTGAGATTCAGCAAGGGGGTTACTAATGAAACAAATACCGCTAACGTGCACCTAAAAGGAACACTCTGAAAGCACATTCTGAATTCTTGGTGACGAAAACAGCCCCAGGTTCTTCGTGATGGGATCTCCTGAAAGCAAAAGTTCTACACACTCTGGAAACACAGGCATCCAGCCTCACATTGGGAATTTAACATACATGTAGGGAGATATTCCCAATGTTCGGCTGGATGCTGTGTTTGCAGAGTTTTCGCTTTCAGGATTGGTGTAATCTTCAGATTTCACTTGATCTTCTATAAATTTTTTTCTTTTTTTATCTCTACAGACCTTTTCTGAATGAAATTATTGATAAACGACCAAATATTAGATGACAAGGTTTTTAGACGCACCACTAAACTAATAGCTTCAGAGAGTCATTGATCTGACCAAATTCATCAGTTCTTCTACTTGTTTTGCAAGTTCTTCCTGTTTCTCTGTAAGTCCAACCAAGACCTGTGGAAGTAGACAGGGGGTTTTATTAAAAAAGGGAACAGCAATAAATAAAGAATGATCACCCACAGGCCTAGACCATAAAGATTTTTGTCATCACCATTTTGACGTCCTTCACTGCAACATCAATTGCCAGAATTTTCTGGAAAATATTGTCCAAGTATCCTCTCTCAGTGTGTTGCTCTGAACCTTCTTTCTGTGTGTCCGTCTTGTGGGTAGCACTGATTTCAACATCACCCTGCATTATATTTGTTTTAGCCTTTAATTGAATCCTAACCAGGGCATGAGAGAATAGCTCCTAATATCCAAAGCATTCCTCCAAAGGAAGCATATGAACATATAGTGATGATAGTTAATCCAGATTCCAGACAAAATACTTACCAGTTTGATCTAAATTATCTGTTTATTTATTTCATTTTCATTCTTGTGCCCAAATTATGATAAAAAGGTAACCTGAAATCCTTGGAAGTGTTAAGAATTCTTACTGTAGCAGGCAGTGGAGTTTCTTCCAGAGCCATACTTGTATTTGTTTTATTTTCATTCTTTAGTTCTGTATCACAAACTGCCTGAAAGAAATGAAGCTGACATTCAATTAGATATATAAAGATTATTTAGTAGGTATGAAATTGTGTCATCAGAAAAATTGTTTGGAAAACAGTCAACTCTTTGTGCTGCTTTGGGGAGAGGGGAGGGGGGTAGAGAATTCGTTGTCACCCAGCTGTCCACCTGCAATGCTTCAGTAATTTCAGTATTGTTCCATGGTCCTTTATCACTTGACATGCAACCTCCATATTCTAAACATGTGCAATTTCCACCCAGAAAAGTTGGCAAATTACTGTTGAAAGTAATAATAAGAGAACATTGTCATATCATATGGTAAATATAATGCACATGTACACATCTAATGGATAATGCACCTTGGGTCAACAACTTCAAGAAGGCTACTTTGATAGTTGCTTCCTAATACCTGTAAACAAGATATAAGAATTAGAGAAGTTGAACTGTTCTAATTGGAATGCAAAATGAACTTCTACACAACCTACACACAAAGAAAGAAGACAGGAAAGAGTCCTTACTTGAATCTTTGCTACTGTATGTGCATCCATGAAAGCCTTGAGTGCTTTCCACAGTGCCCTAAACCCAGATCCAGCATTGACAATAAAAAGTTGATGCAGAGTCTGTAAGAATATCAAGATCAATATACAATGACAAAAAATATCTAAAGACATTTGCAAAGTCATGAACAAGAAAAAACATGATCTGCAGGAAGTTCCTCTATAGAGCATAAAAAAAGGAAAAAAAATTCTATTAAGCATAGCCTATACTTTTCACAAGCATTTGGAGCAACATACACTTGATCAGTCCAACCTAAATTGTAAAGGTGGTTTATCCAAGTTCTACTGTAGACTGTAACTTGTAAGATCAGTTATAAAGAATCTCTTCCATCGTATCCATCACACACAAGTGGTTAGCAACAGTTACTTTCTACCATCAGGCACTGTAAGCCTGTTCATTCAAAGTTGATTAAGCCAGACGTTGATTCTTTAGCTTCAACATTGAAGGCAAGAAGAAACTTGAAAGATATAAAAAGAAAAAAAATTCCACAGTTACGAACAATGATCTAGAACTGGAACATCTCCATGTTTTTTCATATTTAATATAGAATAGTAAATTTTCAACCAACAAAGAAGAAATTTGGATGCCTTGCATTTTCACATTAGATCTTGTAACTCCATGATTTTAATTAAAGAAAAAAGTTATCTTCTATCCAATACATACATTTCTTTCTCCTATCTATCATGATTCTCCACTAATAATGTCTGAAACTTCTCTAAAACTTCCTTTACACATGGGAATTTGGTTCCATGTAGTCAGAGTGTCATGCAAGCTTGGCCATGTATTTTCAAGGTGACCTAGACAACCAAGTGAGTGGGGAGTGTCTGTCTGTATGTATATATGTATATATAGTAGGTATAGGTAGGGATCTGCTACCAACAAAATGCTTCCAACACTGTCCCAATAGGCCACTGCAGCCACACATTGGGAACATCTCCCTTGTTAACTCGTTCATGGGGAGACATTCCCGATGTGACTGTCAAGGCTAGTTGGGAGAGTTGTGAATATTTGTTGGTAGCAGATCTGAACTCGTAGACACCAGTAGGTAACTATATTACTTTCAAATATTGGTACAAGTGTGACTAATCCATTTTGGGTTGGTACAAATATATGCAAACATAAAAGTTAGGACTCTTAACACCTCTTATTGTGTTACGTGACTGAAGTTGGGGAGGATCAGTTGCTAGACAATTCTAATCGTCTATCTTCTTCCTCTTCGAGTTCAGAAATCAGGGCAGAGTGCGCATTCTAGTAGCTCTTTTCAGTGGATCCCAACTAAGAGCTTGAATCGGTTGTCACCTAAGAGGCGGAATCCTAGATGCGTCAAGCGCATTGATTTAGAAAAGCTAAATTTTGCAGTTTGGTTTGGAGATGAAAGCAGCAGCGACAATGACTATGAGTCAGATGGAGCCTCGATTTGCAAGCTAAACAATATCTGATTGAAACAGGGAGCCTGAATATGGAGGTGTTGTACTTAGAAGAAGGGGCTACTGCAGATTTTCCCAAGGAAGAACAAAGGGTAGGAGGTGCTGCATTAGCTGGACAGATCCCACTATCCCACAATGAGGGAGCCAACGAAAAGTCTCAGGGCATACAGGACTTAAATGTAAGAGAACAGCTCTCTTTTGTGAGCATGGATAAGGGTGAACTAGGAAGGGGAGTACTGGGATTGGGTTTTCAAGAGGGTAGGCTAGACAGTGGTGCTTGCTCTACCATGTCTACTCCACAGAAGTCTCCCTGTAAGGAAACAACACCACTTTCAGTCGGATTTGGCAAACAGTCTAGTCCTAGCGTTCCTTGTGCTATCCCTATCCAACCAGGTATGGATGTCAATTTGTTTTTGGTTACTAACCAGTGTATTATGCCTGAAACAGGGGTACCAACAACCCACCCAGAAGGTAAACAAGGGTTTGATTGGAGGTGGAAGAGTTGGGGAAGAGTGCCTTGAAGAGAAGAGTGGGGGGAGGTAGATAAAATTTGGGGACTGATTTGTACAGAGTTTGAAAATCTCAAGCAAAAGGAAGGATATGTGGATGGGTTCAGTGAAATGGTGATGGATAGGGGAAAGGAAGGGGTTGACTATGTTAAAGGAGGACTTCAGACTTCAGTTTTGGAAGCTATTGGTGAGGGAGGTCAGGTTGAAGAGAGGGCTGAAAGGAAAGGACAGGTGAAAACTTATAATAAAAAGAGCGAGGCAAAAAGGAATAAGGAAAAGAAGAAACGATCTGAAGTGGAAAGATAAATTGGTGACATCGAAGGGAATCTAGAATTTAGTGGTAGAGGTGATAGGAGAAAGGGTATGAAGGAGTGGTGGTTTATGATTGAGGGTGTTTGCATGATCTGTGCCTATGAGAATAGTTAGCAAGAATATTAGGGGATTAGGGAGTGCAAGGAAAAGGAAGGTGATAAAGGATTTACTTAGAAGGGAAAGGACTGACATTGTCATGTTACAAGAAACAAAGTTGTTGGAGTTGGACAGAAGATGGGTGAGGAGTGTGTGGAGGTCAAGAGTAAGTGTTATGGGCCCGGGTGTAGGATCTCGTCACGGGTCGGTCCACGGGGAAAACTCCTAGATTTCCCTTGCCCCTCCCTTTGCGCGCAGACCTTATGGTGGCGAACTAGGGGTGATTTGTTAAAGAGATCACCCTAACTCTCCTAAGCTCTTTCTTGATTGAAAACTGAATACCTTTATTTCAATTCATAGCTCCTTAAATAGGAGATTACAAGAGGGGATTCCTTATTGTATTCGACTAGGCTAGGATAATCTAAATCAAACTCAACTTCCTACTTCTTATGGGAAATAAACTACCTACTTCTAATGGTAACAAAACTCCTACTAAGAACAGGAGATAAGATAAGGGATAAGGGACGCTGGTGGCGAGTTGGCCAGAGATAAGTGTGGGCCCCTGGTGAGCTGTTGCATGGACCCCTCCTCAGTGCTGCTGCCGGCGGCGGCGGTAAGTCTTACCAACGAATGTGTCCATAACATCACACCCCTCCTGGACAACGAGCTTGTCCTCAAGCTCGAGATCTGGGTAGGCGTTGTGAAGATCAGACCAGGGAATCCAGGTAGCCTCAGCTGATGGTAGTCCGTCCCATTCTGCAAGGACTTCGAAGGTACCCCGATTGACGCGTGATCGGACAAGAGTCCAAGGTTGGAGAATGGGTCTGCCGTCCTTCAAGGGGGGTAGGGGAGGTACTTGATCAGGAGGACTCCCTGTAAAAGGTTTGAGTAGGGACACATGGAAGGTATCGTGGAGCCTGCTGTTCTCTGGCAGCCCGAGCTGATATGCAACTTTCCCGATTCGCCGTAGTACCTTGAAGGGCCCGTAGAACTTGGGGGCCAGTTTAGGGGGAAATCTGCCTTTGAGAGAGTGTTGCTGATAGGGTTGGAGCTTCAACCACACGAACTGTCCGGGCTCGAAGGTTACTTCTCTGTGGTGCTGATCGTAGACATTCTTCATACGTGTCTGAGCCTGCTGTAGGCGGGAAGTGACTTCCGCCAGGAGAGCATCGCGATCTTGTAGACTACAATCGACTTCTTCCAGCCTTGTCGAACCGAGTTCATAGGACAGTAGGCGGGGGGGTTCCCGGCCATAGACAACCCGGAATGGAGTCATGCCAAGAGAGGAGTGATAGGACGTGTTGCAGCAGTATTCGGCCCACGGGAGGCAGTCCACCCAACGTCTGCCCGTCCGTCTGCGGATGGTAGGCGGATGAAAAAGACAGAGTCGTACCCTGCAATCGAAAGAGCTCCTTCCAGAAGGTGCTGGTAAAGACCGGGTCCCTGTCACTAACGATGGACTCGGGAAGCCCATGCAAGCGGAAAATATGTGTGAAGAAGACGTGGGCCACCGAAACTGCGCTATATGGGTGGGCTAAGGGGATAAAGTGAGCATACTTGGAGAAACGATCCACTACCACGTATAAGACTGATTTTCCGCCGACCTTGGGCAGGCCCTCAATGAAGTCCATGGAGATATCAGCCCAGATCTGTGTTGGAAGTGAAAGAGGCTAGAGGAGGCCGGCGGGGTGTACGTTCTCCCATTTTTGTTGCTGACATATGGAGCAATTCTGGATGAAATCCCGAATCGAGGCCCGCATACCGTGCTAATGGAAATCGGTGCGGACGCGGTGAAACGTCTTCTGAACCCCTTCATGTGTGGCGTTATGAATGTTGGAGATGACAGTGGGAATTAATGAGCAATCGGTTGGAAGATATACCCATCCCTTGTATAGTATTAGGCCGTCGTGGATGGACCAGTTCGGTTTGGGTTCTCTAGACTGTATCTCTTGAACCAGGTCCCTCCATGTTGGTGATTGGGGCAACACGTTCTTAATGCTTTCCAATAGGGTGACGCGGGGCCGGGAGATTGCACAAAGGTGTATAGCATCTTCGTCACGCCTGGACAGTGCATCCGCGGCCCGATTTGAAGCCCCTGCCTTGTGGTCTACTCGGAAGTCAAACCCGAGCAGTTTACTTGCCCAGTGCTGTTGGGGTGGAGTGGTAAGCCGCTGCTCTAGTAGGTACTTGAGGCTATAGTGGTCTGTCTTGATGACGAAAGGTCTCCCCCACAAGTATGGCCTCCAGTGTTGGACGGCTTTGGCAAGCCCAATCAGCTCGCGCTCGTAGGCTGGTAGCTTTAGGTGCCGGTTAGCTAATTTCCGGCTAAAGAAGGCTATGGGGTGCTCTTGCTGTTGCAGTACTACTCCAATGCCTACACCAGAAGCATCACACTCCACCGTAAATTCCAGGTCAAAGTTGGGTAGTTGCAGCATGGGGGTGGAGGAGAGCGCATCTCTCAAGTTTGTGAAGGCGGCGTCCGCTGCTTCATCCCACTGAAATGCGTTCTTCTTCAGCATCTTGGTTAACGGGGCAGCCAAGAGTCCGTAATCCTTTACAAACTTGCGGTAGTATCTAGTGAGTCCTAAGAACCCACGGAGAGCCCTAGTGAATTGAGGTTTGGGCCACTCTCGAATTGCTTGAATCTTGGAGTCGTCTACTGAGACACCTTTCCCGCTGATTATATGCCCCAGATAAAGGACCTATCGCTCCCCGAAG